TGTTGAGTTTTAAAACTTCACAGTGAATTTACTGGTGTTTTCCCATTTTCTGGAAGAAAATTTCAGGTTCTAGAGATGATTTGTTGAAGATCACACAGCTAATAAGTAATGGAGGAGAACCTAGACCTTAGTGTTTTTACAGTAGTTTCACCTCCACAAAACTTGTTTAGCAAAAGGAGTTTAGGTTGCTTTTATCATATTGGGCACTGGAAAGTTCAGAAATAGAATAAAGAGATTCTAGATTTGATTATCTTCTTTCTCATAGGTAAGTTTTTAAAATGGAAAGTTCTATTGATGAACCCTAATCTTGGGGGGAAATCTTGTAATACCGTCCTTGTTATTTCTATTTTATATTTTCTTATTGTTTTAGGGACTTAAAATTGGAGCCTTACTTAGATCATTACTACAGGGATTACCCAACACTTGTCAGAACTACTGGACAGGTGTGCACAATTGATCAAGGTAAGCATCTGTGTTGATAAAGATTTTATGAACAGTGTAGTGACATTTGCTTATATTTTTCTTACCATCAGTCCCTGAGTCAGGGGGCAGGGCCTTCCCACTAGGCAGATTTTAGTTTGTGATTGATCTCTGATTTGCAGTAAGCCATAACTTCCTTAGTATGTGGGCAAATTATATTCATCCTTAAGGTTTTGAGTTGCAGAAGCTTAGCTTCTACTGAGAAGTATGCTGTGTCCAAGACCTGTGCTTGTCATTCCAATTAATAATATTAAAAATTCAGTTCCTCAGTTGCACTGGCCACGTTTCAAGTGCTTAGTAGCTGCATGGGGCTAGTGGTTGCCATATTGGAACATGTTCATTACCACTGTATTGTCTTAGACCCTGAGCTAGAGGGACTCAGGCTGGGGGCCCAGTGTAAGAACAGAGAGGAATCCTGTCTGTCTCTTCTGTTTCCTCACCTTTCAGGTCAGGGCAGAAAATTTTGGTTAGATTCTTTATATGCCTTGAGCATAAAAATTTGCTGAATTTCTATCTAGCAGGGGATAAAATAATAGTCATTCAAATTCTACATATTATAATATAGACAGTTTACTTACTGTGGCAGGAAAAATGGAACATTTTAGAAAATAGGGAAAAATGGCCGAAACCGGTTTGGCTCAGTGGATAGAGCGTTGGCCTGAGGACTAAAGGGTCCCAGGTTCGATTCTGGTCAAGGGCATGTACCTGGGTTGCGGGCACATCCCCAGTAGGAGATGTGCAGGAGGCAGCTGATCGATGTTTCTCTCTCATCGATGTTTCTAACTCTCTATCTCTCTCCCTTCCTCTCTGTGAAAAATCAATAAAATGTATTTAAAAAGAAAATAGGGAAAAATGTTATTTCGATTGATAACAGTATCTGTCATTTGAAAACATTTTCCCTTTAGAATAAAAGATCATTTTCCTAATGTATTCTTGTATGTCTATAAACATTTATCTAATTTTAAAGGTCAAAGAGGGTTTATGCATCATCCATCATTTTTTACTTCTGAGCCACCAAGTATTTACCAGTGGGTGAGTTCTTGTCTGAAGGGTGAAGAAATGCCACCCTATCCTTACCTCCCTGGCATCTGTGAAAGAAGCCGACTTGTAGTTTTGGTATGTACTCATACTATTGCCTGACTTGTTTGTTTTTCTCTTTTTCTTTTAAAATACGGTTTAAAAATTATACAGTAAAATTAACTTTAAAAATTTGGTGTGCAGTTCTGTGAATTTCAACAAACATGTAGATTTATGTATTCACCACCATAACTAGGATACAGAATAGACCTCCTTCCAACAAATTTTCCCTTATACTTTTGAGATTCATGCAGGTGTTCCCTGTACCAGCAGTTGTGAATATAGCTGCTGTAATCATTCAGGTTTCTGTGTGAACATAAGTTTTCATTTCTTTAAAGTAGATACCCAGAGGTGGGTTTGATGGTTATGTAGTAAGTATATATTTAGTTTTTAAGAAACTGTAAACTATTTTCACACTGACTGTACCATTTTACATTTCCCCAGCAGTGTATGAACATTCCAGCGTCCCTGCATTTTTGTCAGTGTTTGCTATTGTCATGATTTCTAATTTTTGCCATCCTGGTACATGTGTAGTGATATCTCATTTGGTTTTAATTTGCATTTCCTTAATGGCTAGTGATATTTTGAGCATTCTAGATAATGAAATTTTGTCAGATATGTGGATTGCAAATATTTTCTCCTAGTTTACATCTTGTCATGTCTCATCATTCTCTTAGTGTTTATTTTGTAGAGCAAAACTGTTCAATTTTGATGAAGCCAGTTTATCCAGTTTTTTTCTTTTATGGATAGTGCTTTTGGTGTCATGTGTAAGAATTCATTGTTTAACTTCAGAACACAATTTTTTTTCCCTGTTTCCTAGTAGAAATTTTATAGTTGTATGATTTACATTTAGAGCAACGGTCCACTTTGATAATTTTTTATAAGACGTGAGGTTTAAGTTGAGGTTCTTATTCAATCTGGATGTCCAAATCTTTTAACACTATTTGTTGAAAAGATTATTGTTTCTTTGTTGTTCTTACAGTTTTGTTAAAAGTCAGTTGACCACATTCTTTTTTTAAAAAAATATTTTTTCCCTTTATTGAATAAGATATTACAAATGTGTCCTTATCCCCCCAATGTCCCCTCATCCCCCCAATCCTGCGACCACATTCTTATGGGTCAATTTCTGGGCCTTTTAATCTGGTCTACTGATCTGTGTTGCAGTCCACACAGTCTTGATTACTGTAGCTTTAAAAGTAAGTCTTAAAACTGATTAGTATGACTCCTCCCATTAACTCTTTTTCAATATTGTTTTAGCTATTTTAGTTCCTTTGCTTTTTCATTTAAATTTTTTAACAGTTTGTCTATAGCTTCCCAGGTACCACCCCCCCCCCCGCCATAACCCCCCCAAGAGAAGTACATTATTTATTGTTAAAAATGAGTTCATTTTGCATAGTTAGGACATGTCCATGGTCAAATCTTCGAGTAAGAACCAAAGGGCATCTGGAAAGGTGAGCTTTTTCAGCACCTGTCTCTCGGTCCCCTGGTCCTCGAGCAGCCTGCGCACAGGTCCTTTATGGACCCTTCAGGCTCACAGGATAACTGTGTGCTTTTGTCTTCCTCCCACATGTCAGTGGACACACCCATCTTTTCTTCACTCTGCCTCTGCCTTCATGTTGAGGAAGGCTTCACAACCCCTGTGCTCTGACACAGACATGCAGAATGGTGATTCTGCTCTTTTAAATAAATGATAATGTGAGAATCTAACATACTATTTATTATTTTAACTTTTTTGGTGTACATTTTAGTAGCATTAAATATATCCACAGTGTATTCAGAACAGCTTAATAACAGAACTTTTGCATTTCTTGCAGATTGTGTGGAAGCATTTAAGTTAAACCACCAAATTTTTGGTCTTGCTCAATGGGGTGGACCCAGTGTATTTCTAACCAAAAAAGGGAGCCAGAGAATTATGGATATGCCATAATTCTTCAACCTCCAACCTAAATATATTAGTCAACTGACAGATATTCACATTATAACTTTTCTTTGTTAGATTTGATGCCTGGTATATAGAATTTTAAGATCTTCCAGTTTTGTACTAAAATTCAGTAAAATCATGCTACTCCTTAAAAAAAAAAAAGTGCCACTGCAGGTACAGATCTTAGTGGTGGGACAGATACTCAAAAGAGAACCATGGCCCTGGCCGGTGTTTCTCAGTGGTTGGCCCTCGAATCAAAGGGTCACAGGTTCGATTCTCAGTCAGGACACAGGGCACATACCAGGGTTGTGGGTTTCACTCCCCAGACCTAGTAGGGGCACATGTGGTTGGCAACCAGTCGATCACATTGATGTTTCGTTCTCTCTCCCTCCTTTCTTCCCTTCCATTTTCTCTGAAAAGCAATGGAAAAAATATCCTCAGGTGAGATGAACAACAATAACAAAAAAAGAGACTCTTGGTGGCAGAAGTGGGAAAAGGGTTAGGATCAGAGGGTTAGGGTTCACCTAACCGGAAATGACCTGAATGCCCGTCTGAACAAAGCTGGTACATCTGTATAATGGAATACTGCTCAGCAGTAGAAAGAAACAAGCTGCTGATAGATGTGGTTAATGTGGATGGATCTCAAAGGCATACTCACGAAGGAGGACACAGAAGACCACACATTTGTGGTTCCATTCACATGACACTGTAGAAGAGGCAAACTACAGGGACAGAACACAGATGAGTTGTCTCTGGTGCTGGTGCAGGGAGGAGCAAGATGGACCATGAAGGGCACTGCGGACCTTTCTGGAGTGAGGACAGTATTCGTATCATGATTGTGATAGTGGTGATGGGACTGTGAAACATTTGTCAAAACACAGAGCTGTACACCTAAAATGGATGAACTGTCCTATATGTAATGATAACCCAGTCATTTAAAAAAGATGTTAATTTCCTCCTTGTGCAGAGTATTGCGCTCTACATTCTTGGTGATGAAAGCTCTGTTTGTGACGAATCCTCACACTATTTATCGAGAATTTCTCTAGGTAAGTCAGTGTAATGTTAGGCTCTGCAAACAAAATTTTATAAATATTGATATCAGAGTTGAAATTAAAAAATAGTTTCGTGTTTGTTTAGAAACCACATCTTACCTAATTGTAGAGGTTTTATCTTACACTGTTCTGGTCTAAGTCCATAACTGAATTTCAGAGACCAGGATGACTTAAAAATCTAACTTCATACTTTTAATGTACCTTATTTCATACTTTTAGAAGGATTATTATTATTATTTTTAGAAGGATTATTTTAACTTCAGGGAAATTACACTTTCCAGCCTGCTTATTTTATTATTTTCTAGGAGTTGTTAGTTAAAGCTTTATTTCCAAATTTCTTGTGCATGTTATGTATTTTTTTTTACCAGGAAGACTATCAAAATAAAGATTCGTTTTGTTATCTTGTAGCCCCCCAAAAGTCACAAGCAGAACAAGAGGAAAACAGGTGACTTTTATTCAGATTGTGCTTTTATATTAAATATATAAAACTCGATTATGTGTCACTCTTCTGTTTAATAACGGTGTTTTGTTTTCCTACAGGTTTAGTTTCAGGCATTCTCCATCAGTTTCTAGTCTGGCTGAAAGATTGGTTGTCTGGATGGCTAATGTAGGTAAGGTTGTCTTTACTCTTTATGTGTTATTGAACTGCCAGTGAGAATCCTCTGCTTCCCTGGACACTCGACCCTCACGAAGCCCATCTTCCTCAAGGCAAGCTAGATCTGGAGGCATGTGAAGAGAAGGTCCCACAGGGTTGAGATTATGGCCTATCTAGCCACACTTCCTTTCCCTAACAGTTTCACAACTTTCATATGACATCAACAATACTAGCTTCTGATCTCTAGGCCTCAGAATGGAGAGCACCAATCACTGCACACCAGACCTTAAGCCATTGTCATACTCAGATATCAGAAGGGAGTATTCCTGGCAAAACCTAAAAGTAATTGTATAAACATTGCAGGTGTGCTTTGGAAGGGAATAGGCCAGGAATTTGAGGCACCAAGAAGAATTCATAGGTGGAGTGGGGAAGAAAAGAGTTTTCTAGTCTCCAATCCTAACCCTGTGATCCTAGGTTTCAAACTGAGTAAAGTACTAAAGAAATTTTTCACAAAAATAACTAAAAAAAAAAGTCAAATTACTTATATGAAGATATTAAAAAAAATGAAGATGTTTCTATATTAGAAAGTCATGCTCTAATGAATGTTACAGGATATTCCTGAATTCTTAAAGGCTGCTCTAAATGACTTAGTTTTTCATTGTATTTTTTTGTATATCCTCTTCAAAATTATAATAATTGTCATTAGTATTACAGATAAGATACCTATGCTGAAAAAATAGTGGCCAACTTCTATCTATATGTTACATAATATTTAATAAAATTGTTATTCTCATATAAGGAACCATTTTTACCTTAAAAATTAATCAAGGTTCTATATTAATAGATAAATATAATTTATAAAATTTAGATATTTTAGGAAAAATAAAAATTTAACGTGAAGATTTAAAAATTTTAAAAATGAAATGTGGCATATATACAAAAGAATTTTTGAAATGTTTAGAGAATAACAATAAAGTGAATATTGATGTACTGGCCACCCACCATTAGAAACAGAACATTGCTAGTGTGGTTGAAGACCCTTGTGTGTTTACTTCTGCATGGTGTCCTCCCACATAATCCACCACTAGAGGTAACCACTGTCCTACCTAAATTTTGTATTTCTTTTCTCATATATTTTTGTAGTTTTATCATCTTTATATATTGCTTAGTGTTTTATATTTTTGAACTTTATGTAAACATAAAAATAAAACTTTCTGCTATCTTATTTTCTTCACTCAATATTGTTATTAAAAATTTAGAAAAATATATTTTTATTGATTTTAGAGAGGAAGGAGAGAGAGAGAGAGAGATAGAAACATGAATGATGAGAGAGAATCATTGATTGGCTTCCTCCTGCACAGCCTGAAACCCGGGTATGTGCCCTGACCCAGAATTGAACCTCCTGGTTCAGAGGTCGATGCTCAACCACTGAGCCACACCATCTGGACTCAGTATTTAAAGATTCATCCATGTTGACTCACGTAGCAGTAGGTCACTTGTTTTCATTGCTAAATACTTCATTGTTTGAATATTAAGAGTTATTTATTCATTCTTTTTTTGTTGTTAATCCTCACCCAAGGATATTTTTCCATTGATTTTTAGAGAGAATGGAGGGGAGGGGGAAACAGAGAGAGAGAAACATCCATGTGAGAGAAACACATCGATTGGCTGCCTCCTGAATGTGCCCCAATGGGGGCCAGGGATCCATCCTGCAACCGATTATGCCATTGACCAGAATCAAACTCGAGACCCTTCAGACCTTGGGCAATGCTCTTTCCGCTCATCAAAACTGGCTGGGCCTTATTTATCCATTCTGTTGATGCAAGAAATTGGGATGTTTCCTCCCTTCCCTTTTTTTGCCATAGTGAAACAACATTGCTAACAAATATTTTAATATTGTGTCCTGGTGCACATGTACACAAGTTTCTGTATGGCTATTGTTGGACCATAGGGGTCGGCCTATCTCCACATGCCAAGTGTTTCCCAGTGTGGTTGTACCAGTACATAAGTAACCACCATCAACTGTGGTCGAGAAGCACTGTTGCTGTGCATAGTTGCCAATACTCGATATTGATTGACTTCAATATTTGTCTGTCAGGCTAGTGCAGGGGTGGGCAAACTTTTTGACTCGAGGGCCACAATGGGTTTTTAAACTGGACCGGAGGGCCGGAACAAAAGCATGGATGGAGTGTTTGTGTGAACTAATATAAATTCAAAGTAAACATCATTACATAAAAGGGTACGGTCTTTTTTTTTTTTAGTTTTATTCATTTCAAATGGGCCGAATCCGGCCCGCGGGCCGTAGTTTGCCCACGGCTGGGCTAGTGTGAACTTCTATTTTCTAGTGGTTTTAGTTTTGCGTTTCCATGATCACTCATTGGATAAACAATCTTTTCATATGTTTATTGATTCTTTGTATTTAATCTATGGAATGGCTTTTAAGTCCTTGGTGGTTTTCCTATTGTTTTAGTTGTCTTTTTCTTAAGGTTTTTTAGAATTTTGTAAAGATATCTTTTCTGCTAATCCCTGATGTCAAGACACTAGCCTGGTAGTAAGATAAATAAAATGAATTTCTTTCTTGTCAGAATAGATGTTTGTTAACTTTAGTCAGAGGGTAAACAGGAGAGTGGCAAGTCTAAATGCAAATGAAAAATGTTTTCCTTTCACCATCAGGTTTCACTTTAAGAGACTTGGAAACTCTTCCCTTTGGAATTGCTCTTCCCATTAGAGATGCAATTTATCACTGTCGAGAGCAGCCTGCTGCAGACTGGCCAGAGGCTGTGTGTCTCTTGATTGGACGCCAGGACCTATCCAAGCAGGCCTGTGAAGGAAACTTACCCAAAGGGAAATCTGTGAGTGTCAACACCGAAAGTTCAAGGTTCAGTTTGGCCTTAGTAACATCAAAGTAGGAATGTTCTACATTTCTTTTGTCTTTCTGCAAGTGTGTATATTACATTGCCTTTTTCATATTATGTGCCAGGTGGCATTATAATTGGACAAATGTTATTAATTGTAAATTAAACATGAGAACAGGAGATTTTGGAATGCTTTGTCTTTCCTGGACCTTTCTTCACCTTGAGTGATCAGTAGAGCAACTACCATGGCTGACTCCCTACTTATATTGTATTGGTAATTAACTAATTTATAATTATGTGGGAAAAGTAAGAGCATAGATCCTGAATTTGAATAGTTAATGTATAACTATTTTCTGTTTCATACATTTCTGATGAGTTGGCTTTCTTGAATTTAACCTTTGAATATTGTAAATATATCTGTTTAATCACATCAAACTGAAGCCCCAAGAAAAGGATTTTTTGGGGGGAGGGAACAGAGGGCACTAAGGTTTGAAAGATGTCTTAATGTTATCCCTTCTGAATACTGTCCTTCATCGGTCTTTAAGTCTGTTTTTTAAAGAATGGGTTCTAAGGTAGAAAGTGAATTACATCATTACTCTCCAATTATTTCTTTTAAAATCAGCCTCTATAAATATTTAAAAATGGAATTTTTAAAATTTCTAAACTCGAGCTAACTTTAAAATCATAAATGGTAGTGCTGTATTACTGTGCCCATCCCAGAGGATCCAGAGGTGACAGTGGAAATTTGCCTAATCTCTTATTAGTCTTTGAACCAACAGATAATAATCAACACATTTTGACTATTTATAATCTACATCAGGTCTTAGGCTACTGATGCTTTAGAACCTGTGTCAAAATTTATTCCTGACATTAGTGTTGCCTCATGTAACTGTGACAGAATCTGTTTCCATGGGGATCCATCTTCAGCAGGGTCCGACCAGATAGTGCTCTTCAGTCTGCACCTACATAACAACTCTTATTTGAGTTAGTATTTGTTTTGTCTTAAACAGAAAACCAATTTTTTTTTTTGGGGGGGGGTTAATACAATTTTTATTCTTCCCTTGGCCAAGATAAGTTTTAGCATTTAGACCTCTTTTCACAGAGTAAGAGCAGTTGTAACATCATTAGCACTGAAACCAGATGGTATTGATAATCATTCAGCTGTATTTGTCATTTTAAGTAATTCTGTCTAAACTCAGTTCAGTTAGTTGAGGCTGTATTGTATAACTCATCTAAATTTAACTTACCAGCTATTTGGGCCTATATTTTATAGCTAACCCTCCCATTAGAATATAGTTTCTTTTTAAAATTAGATAGTTCATAGGAATTGTAATAACTTTTTATGAACTAAATAAAAGTGATTATTTAACCCTATCTGCCATTATTTTTTTCATGTTAATACTGTTTCCATGTTAAATGTTGACAGAACTCTAGCATTTTAACTAGAAGTTAACCTTTTGTTAAAAGAATATAAAACATTGAGAGAAAAGAAGATTTCATGCTATTCAAATCTGTGTTGAAGTCTGAATTACAGTGAAACCTTGGTTTTCTAACTAATTTGTTCCAGAAGGCTGTTTCGAGAAGTGATTTGCTGGAAAACAGAATCATTTTTTCCCCATTAGAAATAAAGTAAATTTTATTAATTTTTCCAAACCCCCAAATGATTCCGTTTTGATCTTTCTTATATACAATACATGTCTAATGTACTATTTAACCTATAAACAAAGACTTCTTTTTTTTAACTTATATGCCTCATTT